GCTTTCACCCATTGGTTCTTGTCTTATTATCAGGTGTCAGGGGGAATAAATCTACTCTCTCATTCCTGGGACATCCCTTCATGTATCAGAAGACTGATATCATGTCTCCCCTCAATCTTCTCTCTTCTCTTCTATAAGTTAAACATACCAACTTCTTAAACTACTATTTGTAGGATTTAGCCTCCAAATCCCTCTCCCTCCCCCCTGTCTCTCTCTCTCTCTCTCTCTCTCTCTCACACACACACACACTATACACATACATACATACATACATACATACATACATACATACATACATACATACATATATTTATCAGCTCAAATACAACATATATATATTGTGTCACAACCCCTGGTATGCCCAAATATGGGAGGAAGCAGACTGCTTCCGTTCTCTGTCTATCAGCTCACCACAAGAGACCATCCAGACAGAAAGCCATTATTTTTACTGTTGCCTTTGGAAACCCCAGGGGTGTTCAAACTTGACAGCTTTAAGACTTGTGGACTTCGACTCCCAGAATTCCTCCTCTCGCTCTTCATCTTGATGATGGGCGGACGGGCGGTGGGAGGGAGCTGAAACCGGTTCTAAATGGCACTGTAGATTTGTGGAACCTCTTCTATAGAAGAGATTAGGACTGGCAGGAGCCCACCCCTACTCTAGATGTTTCTCTTCTCTTTGTAGATCTGTCAGCCTGGGGAAGACCCCCCTCCCATTTTCAGGGTACCGGAGATAGTAGAAGCACATCGCTGAGGAGCAATGAAAGGCCTCTGCCTGGGGTTAGCTGTGTTGACCTGCCTCCTGGTGAAAGTCTATGGCAAGATCTTCAATCGTTGTGAACTGGCATTAGTATTGCGACGCTGGGGAATGGACGGGCACGAGGGCTACACTTTGGATGACTGTGAGTAGCCTCCACATAGCGTCCTGACTGTTCTTTTTTTTAAAAAAAATCCTGGTCACAGCTTTCTGTGACAAAAAATAACGTCCTGGTTTTGCTGAACCTGCTCATAGTACTCGTTTTTAGAACAGACTGTAGAAAGCCTGAGGCAAGAATATTAAATGGCTCTAAATCCTGCATTCTTCCAGCTCTTTTCAAGTGCTGTGTTTGATTCTAGAACCTTTTCACGTGCCCACACTGGGCAGGACTCAGCTAGTGCAAATCTCATTTATATAGAGCTGCCTTGGCAAAGATGGGTGATAGGAGTTTAATAAATATATCTTTTAAAAAATATTGATAAAAAATAGAATGTTGTCAATAATCGGGTGGGGCACCTCTGGTACCTTTTGCCAATCAGCAGTAGAAGTGTGGGGCTTAGTTTATCACTTTATGGTGTTACATATCAACAATCCCTTCTTAAAATATTCACACGGAATTCTTATAACCCAGTTGGCTTAGACCAGTGATGGCAAACCCTTTTTGGCTCATGTGCCAGGGGGGGGTTGCGCGTGGGCGTGCCACACCCATAATGCAATGCACGACCCCCAGTGTGCATGCACGCATGACCAGTGCCCCCCCCATTTTTTGCATGCTTTTTTCGTCCTCCCCAGGCTCCAGAGGCTTTATAAGCCTCTTGAAGGTCCCTGAAGGACTAAAAAGTCCCTGAAGGACTAAAAGCGGCCCTACGAACAAACCGGAAGTGTCTTCCGGTTTGCTCGTAGGGTCGTTTTTTGCCCTCCAGAGCCTTCAGGGAAGCCTCCGGGAGGCCACTGAAGGCTCTGGAGGGCTAAAAACCTGCCCTACGAGCAAACCGGAAGTCCATTCCCGAACTTCCGCATGCGTGCTGGCCAGCTGACAGGGCAACGCTTTGCGTGCCCTGACAAATGGCTCCGTGTGCCACCTGTGGCACGCGTGCCATAGGTTCGCCATCCCGGGCTTAGACATTAAGGTGAGAAAGTATAGGTAATTTGCTCCCCCCCCCCTGGCAAACTCATTGCCAGTTGTTTTTATATTTTAACAACAGTGGAAATAATCTACTGGGATTTGATGTAACTATTTGTCAGTATTCTAGACCAGCCCTGAACACTTGGCAAGCCTCTTTCTAGCCTCAAGGTTACATTAGCTTTGCCTCTGATAACACCTATTACGCCCCTAAGGAAAGCTGATTGGATCCATTCATAGCAGTGGTGGGTTTCAAAAATTTTTGGAACCTCTTCTGTAGGTGTGGCCTGCTTTCCGGGTCCACTGGTGGAACCTCTTCTAACCGGTTCGGT